GTATTGAAAGCTGTACTAAAGCGTCCAGTACAGTACAGTACCGAGAGCCGTGCTGCCAGTACAGTATATTCCAGTATCGAGAGCTGTACTGGAGAGTGCAGTATTTTTATTCCAGTATCGAAAGCTGTACTAAAGCGTGCAGTATTTTTATTCCAGTATCGAAAGCTGTACTAAAGCGTGCAGTACAGTATATTATGGCCAAAGGTACTGCAATACTGAAAATACTGGCAGTATTGTACTGTACTAAACCTGCCCGTGGCCCCCATTTAGCAACTGGCATACGGTTTAATGTGAAGTCAACAACAACAACAACAACAACCCCTACAGAGAGGCACAGAGAGTTCTGTATCATCCCCGTACCCTACAGGATTATTCTGTGCGTTCTGTTTCATCCCCGTACCCTACAGAATAGTTCTGTGTAGTTTGTATCATCCCCGTACCCCACAGAATAGTTCTGTGAAAAAATGTCATGGGCTAACCGGGGATGCTGGAATGTCATCCCCGGGATATCAGAGATATCCGGCAATATAGTTATAATTTGGAGTATTGTGAATTGACAGACAGGCTCAAAATCCCATTGTTGCTGCCCTTGAGCAGCTCGGCAACCATGCCTTTTTTCTCCGAAGTTGTCAAATTCTTGCGTTTTGGTCTGCTGGCAGCGCTTTCCGCAGCAGACATGTTGGTGGGTCCGCTGATAAGTCCTCCAACCGGCGATTCCCGCCAAAGAGCTCAGTTTGGCTCGACTTGGCGGCACGTGAACAGGGGTGTGTGGTCTGATTTTTTAAAAGTGCGTTTTCTGGCGTCTGCGCTGAAAAGAGTTCTGCACAGCAAAAAAAAACGTTTCGGAAAATCGGTCTGCAAGCAAAAGTTTATGTTGCCGGATGTCCAAATCGGTACTAGACCATATCCCCGGACAGACTGGTAGTCTACAACATCGTCGATCTGCCTTGTGGCCTGTATTGCAAAGCTTCTCAGACAACGGCGAAGCAAGAAGGCATTTACTGCAGGATAGCAGCCTGTACATACGTTGTTTCTCCTAATACGCGTCATCAGACAGGCCCGCCCATTCGTGCGTAGCGTCAGCTCGTGCGGGCACCCATGAGTGTTATTTTGTCAGCGTTGTTGATCGGAGCTGGCGTCGTGCTGGCATGCACGACGTCAGGTTTACTCGTACGCATTTGGCTCGTGCAACACTCCTTCGACATGGCGGCCAGAAGTCCGGTTCTTGTCATCTGCATAGGGGCGGCGGCTCTTGCCATGACCTTACTGGTTCTCCTACACTGGCTGCTACTGCTGGAAGGAGGACGAGGACTGCCGTGCCTCGCGACATTCTTGGCAACTTACTTCTGTGTGGCTCCGACTAGACTAATGGCAGGCCCCAAGTAAATATGATGTCCGCCCCCTGTTCCGCAGCTTTCAGGTCGTTCTTTTCATCTGTGTTTGCTGTAGAGAGGCCGAGCGATCGTGAGCTCGTGAGCGTCGCGATTTCCCACGTTCAAAATATTCAACCCTATGTATGCCCTTGTTGTCTTTGTAGAGACTGCTGTAGTGCTTGATGTTTAGATGCTTGTTACCTCTCACACACACACACACCCGGTTTGTTTTTTGTTTTTTTTTCTTAATATGTTTTCAACCGCATTAAGACTGACGTCTTTTCATTGGTCAGCCGGTTAGCGCGGTCGATGCTAATAATCAAAGCACACCCGGTTGGGGGGAAAGAGCAGGAAGTCCCACGCAGCAGGACAGCTGCCGTGGGGGGCTCCGCACGATCATTATCAAGTCGTACTACCCAACATATACCTGTGTGCAGGACCCCTGAAACGGTCATCTTGTCTACAGATCCGACCACATACGTCATCACACGAACACCCTCCCGAGTGCTTTACGTAAAAGTAACTAACCACTTGCAGTGGGATGCGTACGTACGTTACCCTCAGTCAGGGTTTTCGCACGAACAACAAGTAAAAAATAACGCGAAAACCCCTCCCGAGACTCCTATCACAAATAGGACCGTCTACGGCACTCCAAGAAGGCAAGGCCACTAAACATGACAGGATAATGCCAACCAGTCAGTAATGTCTTCAGTTCAGTCAACATTCTTGCCACATTTCATTTTCATAACATCACCAACAGCGTCATGATCGCGCACCCTTCCAGCCACGCTTCAAAAGCATCTGCCAAGTACCCAATACAAACTGTCATTGTCCTCTCGAGCAACAATCGATGATCTAAGCACCAATCTTCCTCCCCCCCCTTGTTTCTCGCGCGTCACGGCGCCCCCGGGGCCGGTGGTGTATGTAGGTGCAATCATCCTGGGACAACTGTTTTGCCAAACGCATCACGCGCAATCAGCCCCTTTGCATGAAACTCTTCGACTCTTAGAATGACGAACTTCAGCCTGCTTGCACACGACTCTTCGACTCTCAGAAAAAACAAAAACTTCAATTCTCAATCACCATATACAGAACGCGTCGATATGGTTCTCCCTTACTCGAAAAGAACTGCAGGCCTTTATGTCATGCAATATTCTCCCTCACTCTGCGCTCGCTGCAAGGGATACACCACACAAAACACCTCTCTCATCCTACGCTCGCGGGAAACACTCCGTACGGTCTACATGCATGCATCGAGAACTCATTATCGCTTGGGCTTCTCCCCTCCTACATGACAAACAAGCACAGTGATTCTTATCATAGGGCTTCTCCCCTCCTACAAGACACACACTGCTGTCATACAAAACAGTGATTCTTATCATGGTGCTTCTCCCCTTCTACAAGACACACACTGCTGTCATACAAAACAGTGATTCTTATCATGGTGCTTCTCCCCTTCTACAAGACACACACTGCTGTCATACAAAACAGTGATTCTTATCATGGTGCTTCTCCCCTTCTACAAGACACACACTGCTGACATAGAAATTGGATACGCCTTACTACTGCGAATCCCTCAATAAGGCGAATACATCTGGTACATGGGTCCACACTTGCAGCAACAACGGAAATGTCACCTACAACAGTGTCCTCCCCTCCCCATTTCCGCCTCATCCTGCACAAGGTGGCACATCTGGTACATGGGTCCACACCTACTTGCAGCAACAACGGAAATGTCACCTACAACAGTGTCCTCCCCTCCCCATTTCCACCTCATGCTGACACCTGCACAATTTTAACTGCGCTGGTATCTGCAACTTCGATACACCGGGTCCTGTGTACCCCTTTTTTGGCCGACACGCTAAATACTGTTTTACCCCTGTGCGTGAGTTTTCAATCAGCTTTGATATACCTGGTCCTGTGTACCCCTTCATTTCAGCCCGACACGCTGGATACTGTTTTACCCCTGGGCGTGAGTTTTCAATCGGCTTTGATATACCTGGTCCTGCTGTGTAACCCTTCATTTCAGCCGACGCGCTAGATACTGGTTTACCCCCGGGCGTGAATCTTTCATCGACTGCGGGGAGCGCTTGTGCTGCATCCCCTCATTGATACACCTGGTCATGTGTACCCCTTCTGTTCAACCGACACGCTAGATACTGGTTTACCTCTGNATACCTGGTCCTGCTGTGTAACCCTTCATTTCAGCCGACGCGCTAGATACTGGTTTACCCCCGGGCGTGAATCTTTCATCGACTGCGGGGAGCGCTTGTGCTGCATCCCCTCATTGATACACCTGGTCATGTGTACCCCTTCTGTTCAACCGACACGCTAGATACTGGTTTACCTCTGTTCTTGAATTTTCATCGGTTGTGGGGAGCGTCTATGCTGCATCCCCCCCTTTGATACGCCTGGTCCCGCGTACCCCTTTTATTCTGCCCCAGACAAAGTTTTCATCGCCCGCGGACATCATGAAATGGAAGCGCCTGTACCGCGAATCCCCATCATATAGTGGCTGGTTTTCGGAGCCGAATGACCATCGTCGTACCAAACACCCGCGATAACACGCCTGGACTTTACCATCGAAAAAGACGAACTACAATTGCTCAACAAAACACCCACATTCAAGATTGGAAACGCCTGAACCGCGAATCCCCTTTCGAAGATCATCATTGGTCGTATCATCGTAAGCGAAGCTACCATCACTCTACGAACACCAAATCAGAAAATGGAAACGCCCTAACCGCGAATCCCCCGTAGAAGTTTTCGACATCATTCGTCACAAGCAAAATCATTCAATATTCCTCACGAATCTCAACCAGAAAGAAGCGCCCCGCGGCAACACCGCGTTGTTGTTGGCCCTCGTTCAAACGCACAGCAGATTTCGCGGTCTCGCCCTTGCTCCTCTGCGGTATTTCCACGTTCATCAGAATCGCCGTGGCTGAAATCCTCCAGTTCTCCAGCGTGTACTTTCCCCGCGATCATCAGGCTCGTGTGCTGTGCCGCCCGCTACTCCACCGCGGACACCACCACCCCTCTGCTGCCTTGTCATGGGGCCGGTCCCAACAGGTCGCTCATGTGTGTGGCCCCGAAGTATTATCCTCCAGGCTCCACCTCCTGACACCTCGTTCCGTGTGCCCGGGGCAGTCAACCTCCCCCCAGCAGCGCCTCTGCTAGAGCTCCCAACCGCACAGAAAAAGTCGATGGTCTGGAACCCACCAAACCCACCATTTGCAGGGACATCAAGCGCCCGCACCGGTTCACCTTCCGTGCCCGATCTACTGCTGCTCTCTCTTCCGGCGGCGTCATCTGTTCTAACGCCAGCCGCAGCGTGCAGCTCCGATAGGCAGCTGCCTGGCGGCGAGATTCCGACAATCCCACCGCAAGATGCGGCGCGTCTTCCAGCACCGCCTGGTCCCCCTCGGCTTCCGCAATCTGGCATTGCCTGCAGCAGCGATGACATCTTGTCCATCACCCCCTGCATCCAAAATCCCTGCGCAATGCTTCCCAGCGGGGGGGCAGCGGATGGGTGGCCCGGGGGACCTACTCCCCCGACTCCACCGGGTGGCACCCCAAACCGTGTGCCCGGCGCGGCTCCTCCGTGCCCTGCGGCGTTGCCAGCGCCGCTTGACTCCCCCACTTCTGCCCCCGCCGCTCTGGCAGGCGGCGTCTGAAGTTGCCCTAGCTTCTCCATGACAGCCGACAACACCTTGCTTTGCTCCCCCAGTCTCATGGACAGCTCTGTCGCGCGCGTGTCGATCGTGGTTCCGCCGCTATCGCTCGCTGGGGTATCGCCAGGCATAATCTCTGCAAAGGGGCTTCTTCGAAGGAAACTCTAGATTATTCGTCAACCCTAAGTAGTATCCCCTTGTTGTCTTTGTAGAGACTGTAGTGCTTGATGTTTAGATGCTTGTTATCTCTCACACCCGGTTGGGGGGAAAGAGCAGGGAGTGCCACGCAGCAGGACAGCTGCCGTTAGGGGCTCCGCACGATCATTATCATGTCGTATTACCCAACATGTACCTGTGTGCAGGGCACCTGAAACGGTCATTTCGTCTACAGATCCGACTACATACGTCATCACACGAACACAAAATGCCGGGGCAGCCTCCTAGAAGGAAGATAAATGTGGTATACGTATTTGGGCTTGTTGTGGTGGACGTATCCATGAGCATCCATTCTAGTCCACGGACGTGTCCGTGGGCTAGAACCACACATCAGTACGGTTCACATAGTAGTAATGGGAGATCGTTAGGAGTGTGCGCTATTATCATAGCGCCCTCTATTTGGTCGAAGGAGTGTGCGCTAGTGTGCGGACTACGAACGAGACGCAGCCGAGTTCGTGGCCGTTTTTCTCGACCACCACGGCCCCGGTTGGACGTCCGTGAGGGTTAGGGTTGGGTTGGGCGGGGTGGGTTGGGTTGGGTCGGCCATGTGTGTGTCTTCTTATTCTGAGAGCAACCACTGCCGATCTCAACGGTGGTGACAGCCCTGCTTAGACACGGCAGCATCAGTCACCATGTTTTCGTTTGGGGAAAAATGCAGGATTGTCGCTGCAAATGATGTTCCCTATGTCGAACATGAAGTTCTTTTTTGAGGTAGCGTCAGAAACGATAATTATCCAGGGGGCACGCTAGTGACCTGAGCTCACAGAAAACGCTCTAAGTAATGAGAACGGACCCAATGAATCGGTGCCGCCCTGTATTTTTCGATCGCGCAGGCCGTGTCACTCAACGAATCTTGGAGAAGTCGGCAAACAGGCAGAGATGCAATTATTTTGTGACCAACTGCATTTTTTCGACCATGTGTATCGCGGCTAAATTTTGTACACCCCGATGCTTTCCGAACATCCCCGCCGCGTCGCAGCCTGCCTTATTACACAACGCAGACCAATATGCCCCTTTGACCCTGGCACTCACTCGGCCGTCGCACCCCCGTGTTGTATCTTACCTGGTACTATACTCACACGGTGGTCGTCTCTGTCATCGTCGCTAAACATAAACGTTGTCGCCGCCTTATTCTTTGGGAGGGGAAGGCAAAAAACAAAAAAACATCCGGTGTTTTCGGCCAAAACAGGTTACCTGATGCAACAAAGGTGCTACATGCAGCCACTGCTTGTAGCCACCACCCCGTCCAGCGCCCCGAAGTACATCCCTTTGATAGCCACTGCACAGATATATATATATCATTGTCTCATCAAATTCAACTTGGTACGTATGACGGCTTCCAGACGACAGCTCCGAGCCTGCACTGGTACATACACGTAGTCTGTACTTAGCCTTCACGATTTCCAGCGACGCAAGTAGAGCCACCTTGGCTCTATTCCACTTCACGGCAACAGGGAAGCTTGAATGTTTTGGGACTTTTCGTCGACCTACCCATACGTGGACCTACCCATAGAGCAGGTACCCCCGTAGACTTCTTGGTTGCTGGCGAACATCCCAGATTTTCGGTCAAGAGCTGGTGCAGGAGGTGACAAAGAAGATCGAAGCTGAAACCTGAAAAGCCGTGCGAGGGTATTCGTGCATGCCCCACCAGCTTATGCATTTTTTTTGCTTGGCCTAGCTTTGACTGGCGGCAGTCAATCTTTCCACACACCTTCTTCTCAGGGACGTGCAGGAGGCCTGTCGATAGATGACCACGCATGTCCGCAGCTCGCCAGGCATGCGTGGTACGTGTGCTCGACGCCTAAAGTCGCCAAAGCTGGCTCTTATTCCCGGGCATACCTTCCGTGACAGAAAGCCCGGCGGACTAATGTTGAAACCCACTCAAGTCGTACCGTGTGCGTGCGTGTTGTGTTGAGCTAGCAGGACATTCGCCGCGGCGGGTCTTCCATAGCGCTCCCTGTTGACGGTAACCCTAAAGGCTCGCCGGAGCATTGTCGCGCATGTCTACAGTAGAATACGGGTTGCTGACGCGTGGCGAGAAAAGCGCGTTCGTTTTACGTCGGAACGGTGTCGACCTCCCGAATAGGGACTTTGTGCCCTGTAAATGAGTGTGCTCTACAGGAATTTCGTTTGAAGAAAGAATCGATACGCTGTTGTAGCAAAAAAAACGAAGGGTATGCCCGCGTTTAGCCGCAAGGTAGTACTCACGAAACGTGCTTGCATACACCATAGTCTCATTGGAGTCTCATTGGACCTTCTTTGGTGTGGGATGATCATGCGGATGAAACGGTTGTGGACTGCGGACGAAAGGACACATGAAGAGCAATGACGTGAAGCGCCGGTGACCGCGCCGCAGGCCCGCTTAACGTCACTGAGCTCGGAAAACTGAGCCGAATATTTCCCAGGGGCTGGCGAAATCTGAGGAGTGCATCATTGTTCGACAATACACATGCTTGTTGTGTGCCGGTATGGAATATTTGCGGTACAGATTCCATGTGAACCAGACACGGGATCAGGAAGGTTGGGGGTAAATTAGCTCCAAATCCTCAGATTATCAAATGCGGGTCAAGCGCTTTGTTGTTCTGCGACAGCTTCGGGCGAATGCGATGGTTAGAAATGCAACAAAGTTTGGTTTTGATGGCGGATTGTTTGTCATTATTTTATTTCGATTTCTTCTCCCGCAGGGTATTCCGCTGGCGCCTTTCCGTACATGCTTCGCGCTGTGCGAATAGTGGTGATTTACCATTCCGCTTACCGGTACAAGTACGCGGGACTCGTGAAGTGGACCAAGCTACGAAAGGCGTGGGCGTCGATCACTTTATTGATGGTCGTCGTGGCCATAATACTCTACGCCATCTCTGCCCGACACTACAGGTGAGCGTCGTCGAAACACAGACTTTCTACGCTTCTTGGTACAAGCAAGGGTGCTCTTTTGCGGTCGACGGCTGGAAAAGTTCCCAACTCGATAATTTTGGGCGCAAAGTCGTTGTTTGCCTTGCCTTGCAACGCAACGATGGACATGTGAAGCAAGGTTGTAAGTCACACGTCGATGGTCACTTTCAAGCTGCTACAAGAATAGTGGCAGTTGATAGCGCCGTCACACCAGATTGTACATCTCATGGATTGCGTCCCTCGCCCGCGCATTGACATCGATGACGGCTAAACACGCGTTCTTATGGCGCTCTTTCGGCGACCATGGGGAGCAGACACGACTACGGTTGCGCCTTCTTCGAGGAAACCATTGTGATCGGAACGATGGCGTTGCTCAACGCCCCAGGCTTCACGTTCCTGCTATTCAAACTCTCGCAAGTGCAAGACGTCTATAAGCTTCGGCGGGAATTCACTTGGGTGTTTAACGCGGTTTCCTCGAGCACATGTGAGCTGCAAGATATGTTTCCTATGTTCTCCAGTAATCTCTTGCGACGGAGTTGATCATGAAACAATTTCACATACTGCCGTATGATTGGTACAAGCTCATGCTATGATGACGGTGTTTGTCAAATGCCTCACCAAGCTACTGTCGATGGTGAAATTGTGGATTTGTTTCGAAAGACTGTTCAGCAAGACGCCAGCCCACGCTAGCGGAAACCTAAGCAGTGTTGCCCAGCTGAGAAGGAACACTATATCACCACGACCAGTGCGCACGAGTGGCCCGTTTTGGTTCTCGACAAAAAGCTTGCCCAGTGCGTAAAAAATGTTCAGCAGCTTGACCGAGCAGCACTCGTTTTTTCAAATTTGACGGACACAAGTATTCAGAAATGATATCCAACGGTTTTCAGTGGTCCAGGTAGAGCTGCTGGGAGATACCACAGGAGAGAAGACGCAAGAAAACATTTCGAGAGGTCGGCAAGACGAGGTTCCTCAGTCGACGAAATACACCACGGGGCCACTCATACCGAAGATGGCTTTCGCAAAGAACTTTGAGTATATCCCTAGAGTCATGGTCTTGGAACTTTGGCTTCTGACATGTAACGGGAGCTCGCCGGGAATGAACACGAAACACTTGAACGTTGGATTGGGCGATTTTTTCGCCGAAAGAATATCAAAAAAATTCTCGAATAAAACCGGAAGATGAGGAAACTCTCTCAGCTCTCGTCTCACGTACTGTCCGTTGCTATCCGCTGGTCTGGAAAGTGGTGCCTAGAGTTCGTGAAGTAGCACGAAGCATACATGTGCTTCCTGAAACAATTCGAGTTGTGACCTAACTTCTTCGAACACGTTGCTTTTGCCTCCGAAAAATGATGTCCTACTTTACTCACGCGGCCGAAAGTTTGGGCGTCCATATGGGAGTGTGGTACTTATCTTCATTCCCATAAACGTATTCGGCCTGAAATATCACCGTGAACAACCCAAAAAATGCTGCTTGTCATTCTTCGAGCGTGGAAGAAATTGTTGGGAAGGACATGAAATGTTGCACAACATGCATAGTGAACGCTTCAAAAGCAAGTCATGACGAAACTTGGAATAGAAATGTCATTCGCTCTGCTTATGGCGAAGGTAGAGGGAACTCACCCGACACAACTCGCTGCGATTCACACAATCTTGGGTGTCATGGCTGGGGATCGTCGGGGCAGACCAGGTTGACGTTGCCTTGACAACTTCCACGATCTGTTACAACACGGGTGGACGGTACCCCCCCCCTGCACAAGGTCGGTTGCCCGAAACACCGAGTAGATATGACAAGGTTCCTAAAGTTGAAGGTTGTGGCCATTTCGACCTTGGGCAAGGTGCCTACAAGGTCCCTGAGGAGGAAACCTTGACGCAACATGGGCACATGACACCTTGGTGCCGGCCTCACAAACTCTGACACCTTGCACAAGTGCTACAAGGCCAAATTCTGGAACCTTGTATTATCTGCCCGGTGCAAGGGGGGTTACCGTCCACCTGTAAAGCCTCAATTCTTTCTTTTGTGCTGTTGTCTTTCGTTTATCGTCTGTGAGACGTGTACATACTAATCCAGGTGCTTTATAAAACCGGAGCTGTGACGGAGACGCGCACTCTTCATCTCGTCTTGGAAATACTGGCGCTGGTTATCATGCTTAGTTTTTTGTTTTGGATGTGAGTGGCAGTACGCGTTTCACGGCAACCGAGCTGTTGCATCGAAGATCGTGCAGAGGTAACCGCACCAATTGTGGCTTCACAGACTACCGCCTGCTCAGACTAGTTGTTTTCGGGGCATCCGCGTGAAGCTCGCGGTAGAGGCAGGCGACCCGGTTGCGTATTGAACGTCGCATTCTTACGGCAGCAACCCGAACCATATGCGTTTTGCGCTGCCGATCAAAATTCACCACACCTTGGAAGGGTGCTGATTTCAGTGGGCATCCACGACGGTTGGCGCTGGTTCGGAACGTCAACGGTAGTCCCAACAGAAGGTTGGGCGGTGTCGGCGTCGAATCGTTCGTCGGGTCCAACGCACGGCGATGGCGTTCTGGGGTATGCCCAGGAGGGCGGATCGGTCGCCTCCATGTTCGAGCAATACTGCATGCGGAGCTTGTGCGCAGAGAGCTGGGATTTCATCGTCGCGGCTTGCAAATATGAGGTACCGTGCGGTCCATCGCCATGGTTTTGGGGATATGAGTTGTCGACGTCCCACAGACGTCGAGATTGTTGCATCAAGGCCATCTCAACAAGCATTCGAACGTGAAATATATATCTACTGCTCAAACACACGCATGTAGATCACTCGCCTCTGCAGTTACCTTCCCCCTTGTCGCAACGAACCGATGTCTGATTGAGGCAGGAAATTTCAGACCCCGAGGAGCAGTACAAAATGTTCCTTCGCATCACGGAAGAATACTTGCGGCCCACCTCCCCTCAAGAGGTAAACATCAGCAGCAAGATGCAAGCGAAGATGGTGTCGCTGCAGGACAGCGTCAAATTTTCGAGCCTCGACGGAGACTCCCGCCGCAACGTACTTCAAGAGCCCCTGAAAGAAGTTGTGCGGATGCTCGAGGAAAACCTCCTGAACAAGTTCAAGCAAACCCCAGAAATGCGGAAGAGGCGTGAGGACCTGGAACGCGAAGACTGGCGTGAGTCTCACACCCGTTCATGGGCATCCACGTGTTTTGACCGACTTGGAATTAATCATGACATGTCTTTACTCAATCCACCAGGGCAACAATCGGTAAAATCGCACGCAAGTCCAATGCAGAGGTTGTGGGTGACCTTTTCTAGGACATGCCCGAAACGAATCCCGCCTGCCCGAAACGAATCGTAAAAGTCGGGGAAAACAGCATCGACCCGGTACCTGCTTTTGCGACAGAATGAGATGAATACGTCCTAAAGAGCGAACCGAGCATTGCCTGGCGCCAAGGGATCCTAAAGGTGAACACTATTCTACGTGGGCGTCTGCTTTTGCGATGGGATGGGATAAATCCCTGGAAGAGTACTTTCTGGCGAATAATTGAGGCAATTCCCGACGGAACAAATTATGCTATTACTCCTGTATTTGGTTGTATAATTGATCTGTTAGTCTCGTTGCACAGGCACGTGTCCTCGCCCCTTCCAGGTAACGCCAAGCTATTCCTTCTCTCAACTGTGCGCTCTTAGTGTCTTCTTTCGCGTTCCTTCGGTTGTTGTATCCAACCTTTCCTCATCCAGTTATCGAGCAAGCGAACTCCGCGGCGGCGGAAGGCGACGAAAACATGCGGCAGCAGCTACTAACGGCGGGAAGCCTTCTCTCTCGAAGTGGGATTGAGAAAGGGGACCCATGATACTTCGTATACTTTTGCCGCCATCATCAGGAGGTCATTTGGACACCCCTTGAATGTGCAAATGGTGTGAGGGGTGTGGCGCGCTCTCTTTCTCGTCGTCGGTATTGAATGTCTTTTATTTTATCGCAGAAAATAATCTCCTGGCGGTCGCCGAGGAGACGGACCGTCTGAAAAACCTCCTTGATCGAATACATGTTTGTGGTACTTGAACATGAGTCCGATCTGTGCATCCTTTGTGGGGGATACGCATATGGGAAGTTTGGTTGTGATGGGTATGTATGCGGTTGGGGTCCAAGTGCGGTCCCCCCGGGTGATCACACGGCGGTGTGCTCCCGGCACGTGCCTGAGAGGCTTGCGTGTTGGTGACCAGCTTGCCTGAGGGGCTTGCGTGACGAGAATATTAAATATATATGGTCCTTTTCTTCATCTGCTGTTCCTGAGATAACATAGTACCCAGTCTCAACACCACAGACCGCTGAGGGCGGCATTGCAGACAAACACGATATCGTTTTTAGAGCCTAGCTAGGCCGGGTGTTGGTTCGGCGATGACGGAATGAGAAAGAGAGTTGTTGAAAGAACGAGCGAGGAATGCCGAGAGAGCAGCCGAGGAAGCGGCAGCCAAGATGGCGGAAATGCAGAGGGGAATAGATGAAACGGAGGAGAGGAGTTCAGCGGAGAAAGCCGCGAGAAGGAGAGTGGGTGATGCCGGGTATGCGGCAGGTAACATGAGGATAAGCGGCGCTGGCTATACGCCTGGGTACCATAGCAGGGATGGAGCTGCCGGAGGNGGGGAAGCGGCAGCCGCGGCAGCCAAGATGGCGGATCTGCAGAGGAGAGTTGAGGAGGCAGAGGAGAGGAGTTCAGCGGAGGACGCTACTAGAGATAGGGTGGGTGATGCCGGGTATGCGGCAGGTAACATTAGGATAAGCGGCGCTGGCTATGCGCCTGGGTACCATAGCAGGGATGGAGCTGCCGGAGGGGTGGCTACTTGTGGAGCCGGGGGGACGGCTAGTTTTTTCGATGATCAGGAGCAGCAGCAGCGTGACCGCGATTACGTGCGGAAGGACCGGAAGCCACCGGTGTACGACGGCAACTTTCCACTGTTCAAGTCGCTGTTCGAGCTCTTCCTCGCCCGCGAAGATCTATCACCTACACTCGCCAAGCCGGCGAGTCCACACCAAAGCATCTGGCTCCGCAACGGGCTGCCAAGGAGCGAAAACGTCCGCTTGCACGGTGAGCGTCGCGTGCGCGATCATGAGTATGCGTTTGAGTACTTGATGTGCGCCCCGAAGGGGGCAAACTTTCAGGCTAAAATCTTTGTCGTTGGGACTGTGTCTGGGGCGTGGGAGGCTGCACAACAGTTCTGCCTGCCGATGAGTGACTCCGAGAAGGAGGCACTGAAGCTGTCTCTCACGAGCATGAAGATGCAGCTTGGAGAGGACCCAAAGGCGTACTTTCTTAGGTTCGACAGAGTGTTGGCTACTCTCCGCGCCGTCAACGGCGATGCGATCACGGATAGAGAAGTCGTCGCGATGCTTCGAAGGAACCTCTCCGCCGACTACGAACAGGTCCACATTCTCTTCATGGCCAACCGCTCGCTCACGCGCAAGGACTTGGAGAATCTTGTGCGTAGCCTGCACGCCGAGAGAGACCTCGGGAATGTTGCGCGGCGGACGGCAGCGCCGACCGGTGACCCACACGCTCTTCACGTCGGCGGTGGAAATTTTCGGCGGGACTGCTGGGGAGGTTTTTCTCGTCAACAGCAGCATCGTCTACAGCAGTCCTGCGGAGGTGTTCCCGTACAACAACCGTTCCAGCAGCAGTGGAGGTACGGCGTATTTGGCAGAGGGTGTTCTTTTCAGCAGCAGCAGCAACAACCGTGCGTGCAGCAGAGGTTCGAGCCACAGCCATCGGTGCAGCAGCAGCCCATGCCACAGCAGCAGCCTCAACAGCAGCAACCTCATCAACAAGTCCACAAGGGCGCCGCGCACATCACCGTGCAGCTCTGAGCGAACCGCAACGACGGCCTTGATGATGACCGCTGTGGTCACGGAGGGAGGGCGGCAGAAAGCAGCACTGTGAGGATATTCCTCGCCCACAACACTCTCGGACCCCGGGCTAGAATAGCACCGGGCGAGCGGTTGTTTGAACGCCGGAGTGGCCCCGGGACACGTATGGAGCTGCCGCGCGGAGCTTTTTGCGGCAGTTGGTGTATCACTTCTGATCGGTACAGCGCAACTACGTGAAACTCAGTACTCCTCCAACACCCTATCGACGAACCGGGGGAGCGACGGGTAGGTGGTGACATAAACCCTAGTGCAGAACACCTTGCAACAGCAATAGAACCGAGTCGGCATCCCCGTCCATGAGTCCTGCCGTCAAAGTACGGTGAGGGTGGTGGCACGTAGGGATAGGGTGTGCACGGAGGTTGTTACCAAGATTATTCGAACAGAATTAACATGTCTCGGGCATTACTGTCTCTGTGTACGAGTTTTTCACGTGTTGCACCTCAAACTGATTCGCTAGTCTTCGCTTCTAATGTCATGACATCACGTGCAAGAAGAGCAATCCGGTTGGCGGGAGCGAACGATGTGGAAAAAGCCGTGACCCATTCCTTCCATGTTTTCGGAGGTGTGATCCGGACCACTTCCCCACGTGCACGCAACGCATTCAGCTGAGCTGGCGGTCGCCATTCGAGAGTTGAGCTAAGCATGAGGCTGAGACTTTGAGCGGCGGCACCTCGAACGAAGAGCGCGAGATGTTTGATTGCGCGGTGATCGATTGTGCTTTGAGNGAAAAAGCCGTGACCCATTCCTTCCATGTTTTCGGAGGTGTGATCCGGACCACTTCCCCACGTGCACGCAACGCATTCAGCTGAGCTGGCGGTCGCCATTCGAGAGTTGAGCTAAGCATGAGGCTGAGACTTTGAGCGGCGGCACCTCGAACGAAGAGCGCGAGATGTTTGATTGCGCGGTGATCGATTGTGCTTTGAGAGACGTTGTCCGCAGACAAAAGACAGATGTGTCCCCTGTAAAGTGCGATTTTTTCGGGAACATGTTCGTGAGGCAGACCCTCGAGCTTGAGATCATGAGGTAGGTCAGTAGCTTTCAAAGTAAATCGCGCCGTGCTAGTCACGTCCTGGTTTACCGTGGTTTGGGTTACCGGGGTAGGGTTGTCCTGGTTTACCGTTTGCTGGTTTACCTGGTTCGGTGAGGCCTGGTTTACCGTGTTGTGGTGTACCGGGTTAATAGGTGGAATACTAGGGTTTCCCCTATGGATTTCCTGTAAGGCCGTTGTTTTTCCGGTCCAGTTTATCCGGTCCAGTTTATCCGGTAGGGACTTCCCTGTAGTCTAAGCTTAGTTGTGCTGTAGAAAATATCCGGCCCAGAATCCCCATTTTTGTAGGAAAACTAAAACATTTTGGGAAAATTGCTGGAAACGCTATTTCCAGCGCCGGCGGCGCTGACGGCGGTGTGTGCGTGTGAGCGTGTGAGCGCCGTGGTTGTGTTATAGTTGGACAGCAGCTCGCTGTAGCAGGGCGCTTACAGCCATGGCGCGACTAGCGCGAGGGAGGCTGGCAGCCGAGCGGTGCGCGGAGTGCATACAACTCACCACGATCGCAGCTCTGTGTGCGCTTGTGGGAGAGGAAGACCTATTTGCTTGGGATGTACAGCCTGCTGCGCTGGCAGATGTACGAGCAGGCCGTGGCAGCGACAACGATCGAGGGTATCCGGTTCGACTACTTCGAGAGAATCGGAGGATTCGACTTGAAGGAGCTGTTCAGGTTCGAGAAACCTCACTTCCTGGAGCTGTTGGACGCACTCCAGCTACCGGATACGTTCGAAGTGTCGCGGTGAGACATCCCGCTTGCGCTAGTTGTCATATGAAGCACCGAAGCTAACCCGACATGCTGTGGCGTGTTGCCCTCCTGACGTGTGGACGACGCAGCGGTACATATTCCAACTAGCGGTCTTGTTTGGTATAAAATCAGGTGGCGTAGGTATAAATTGTCTCGCGGCGCGTCTAGCGTAGCAATTTCATGAGTTGGGTGCATCCGCCACCACCGCGTCTTGTGTGCATACACATGACTGTCGCATCGAGCGACAACTTCTTCCAAGCAGAGGGTCCATTCTTCAGCCTACGTGGTAGGCGCTCTTGGGTTGAATTAAATGTAGCTCATCCACCCTTTCTATGGAGACGAGGTAGGTATGCCCTACGAATAAAGATGTGGAGGCGCTCGTACAGTCCCCGTCACACGCCAGACTCCAAGTCTCATAGGAATATATAGACTGCTTGAAATAAGTGTTACGAAACCCGTCGAATCAATAGAAGTTGGTGCTGCTGTACGTACAATTGCAGCCTTGTTGTTGGTGTAATGCTGTAGTAGCACAGTGCTGACCTTTGGTTGGCCGTATTGCTTTCGAACCGCACTGTGCATGGTACCTATCATGGCGGCATGATGAGCTGTTCAGATGATTTGGGTTACCTCACGGCTTCAAAGTGATAACAGCGAGGGCTAGGGTTTAAGACCGTGGCTGCCTATTGCGCTTGTTTTCCCGAAACATTGTAGGGAGGCAGAGGTCCCGTTGTACGGTCGAATTCCCCTGATAATGCGAACCACCGTAATGTTGTCTCGGGATTATTTCGTGGGTATTCCTGTGGGCTGGAGGGCTGGAAGGGGCCTGCCTGTATTTCTTCCTGTTTGTTTGCTGGGTTTTCTCTTCCTTTTCTATTTATATGCCTTTTGTTCTCGTTCTTTCTTCCTGTTAGACCGAGGTCGTTTGCCTATAGCCGGGTTCGTTTTTCTTTAGTTGTCCTTTTTTGTTTGGGCAGAAAACGAATCGTGCCTTGGAGGAATTTTCTTGTGTCCATTGTTGCCTCTTTATTTCTTCAAAAGGTGCACCTCGTTTGGGGGCAGTTGGCTTGTGGTGACGGGAGGTGTACGCGTCAGTTGGACCAGTGCAAACATTTGAAGGCACCGAGTGAGGCCTTTGCGTTTGGTCATGTGAAGAAAACCTCAAGTACAAAAAACATAATTGTATTTTCTAACTTTTCTTTGTAGTCGAGATGTATGACTTGGCCGTGACGGGGTGCGTCACGAAAAGTCGTGCCCAAAATCGTTTTACTCGCGGATGCATTTGAGTGAACACAGTCCTATCCGAACGGGGCCTGCAGACGAGAAAACCCCACATGCTGCGCACGTCAGAGGTCGGATAGAAAGCGAACAATTCGTAGCGAACGAATTTCCACCGTGCGGATAGTGAAGTATTATCTCAATCAATGTTTTTTGGCAACGAACCTCCGGTTGGCCAGCGCAGCACTAGGCTCAGGTAGACCGGGCTTGATCACTGGGGTCGATCCGGTACGGGACGATTCGACGGCAATCATCAAGCCTGGTCCACCTTGTTTGCGGCCTACGCCACTTATTTATCGGGTGAGACTGTTTTGGTGATGTATTAACTTCACGGGAGGTAGACGACCGTCCTTCACACGGACGAAAGAGGGAGTACTCAAAGAGCGGCTCCCACAGCAAGGAGGGGCCCCGTGAATCATCGCGGTGCCCCCTATCAAACGGTTATCTTACCAGTCTGCGTGACACAAAATCATCCAGCACATGTATCCAACAGCAATGTTCGCAGACTCACGAACACCCTCCCTGGTTCTTCACGCAAGTGACTAACCATCAATTGGGCAAGAACGCCCCAGGATACATCAGAAAATACCAACATGGTAACATATGGAGGGGAAACCCGGCGTCCGGGCAAAACCCCTCAAGGAAAAACCCTTCCA